ACCTCCATGCTTTTTTCAATGAAAAACTGAAGCACAGAGGTGCAAAGACTTGCCAGCCAGGGTCAGAGCCAGGCCAGACTGGCTCCCTAATGCCTACTACTTTTCTCCAGCTACATGTCCCTAACTTTCCCACTTCTTTAAGTTATACACACACAGAAGACTGAAATCCCCTCTACACACACAATCAATCACATTCACAACTTAGAACTGGTTAATATGTTATTTTCTTGCCTGTATAAAGGGTGTCTGCTTATACCATGAGACTGGAAAGGGAGTATCAAGTCAATTATAGAAAAGTGATAATAGTAATTCCCCAGCTCTTCCAAATTACTCTTAGTATGGCATTTCCCTTCATGAAGGCAGATTTAACAGTCTTTATTGGGGAGCATTATGTATCATCGAAAATCCTGCTATACAAAGTGTGCTTGCCCCTCCCTACCCTGCCCTACCAGTGGCACTGGCATGACCAATTTGCATTCTAACAAGATCCCAGGTGAAGTGTAGGTACATTAAAGTTGGAGAAACATTGATCTAACACACTTCGCTATCGGCAGCATCATACCTAGAACAATTCAGATAGAAAAAAATGGCTGAATAAAACAAAAGGGGAAAAAAGAAGGAAAGACTACTTCACACAAGACTACATGGATGTATACCTGGACCAGAGACTAATAAACCAAGTGTGATTTCTCTGCTTTAAAACAGAACTTCAGAGGCTGAAATTCAATTCACTCATCCAATGTTAACTGTGTAAGCAAAAAACTGTAGATAAGGGATAAGACAAGTCTCCTGCCTCTCTATAAAGCATACAGTCAAATAAGGGACACTATAAAGTAACACAGGAGACGGCTCAAAGTGTTGAATACTGTGATGTAGATATATATGGAGGTCTAAAAGGAAATTCATGGAAAAGAAGCAACTAAAAGATTTCTGTGGTTCAGAGTAAGTAATCTATGGCTCATTAAGCTATTAGGGGAAGGGACAAACTGTGGCCCACATGGCTCTAGTGGTCCAGCTTCCAGCAGAGTTTAGTCAACAGTGATAAAAAAACAGGCTAACTAATAGAAGAGCTACTGGTAACTGCATGGCAGTCATCCTAGGCTTCAGCTGGCCAGGGGATATCACTGGTCATCATCAAATGGGGATGCTTTGAGACTGCCAGCACTACTCTGTGTCCACTGTGTGCTGCCACGGAGATGGACAGAAGTACATAAGGACGTGTGGAACACTCACTGGATGAATACCTTAGAGGTTGCTGACCCCACTCCGGGAAGCTCAGAGAGTAGAAAGGCATGACAGGGAGAAAAATGAAAAAGGAACCAAAAGAGCACTACCGAAAAGACAGCGGAATACTGACTCCAAACATCATGATGGTGATGGTGATGGCAGCAGCTAGAACTATGACATATGCTACCATCTTCTTAGAATGAATAGAAATGCCAATGGTCTGTTATCCCAGAGAAAGGCATATAAACGTCAAGGAAGTATTCTAAAGGCAAATCCATCCCACTGTGCTTCCAACACTTAGCCAAAAGGCTAAGCCAAAAGGCTCAGAAGCGATCCACTGTGCCTATTACTGTAAATGCAGGAGAATTTTAAAATATCCTCAACCCAGACTCTCAGTAGGCAACCATCATTTCCACAAGTTTAGTCTCAAAGACTACAATTTTACACACATAGTAAGCAGAGGAAACCATTAGGCAATAACATAGGAGTATATGAAAATAATTACAATAAATAAAAGTAAAACATGGGTGAAGATGGCCCACTTAACTCCCATGCAGCATGGAAAGGTCTACAAGATGTAATATTGAGTGAAAAAACGTTGCATATAGTACATAGAGAATGATATCATACATAATAAAGTATGTACACAGAAAACCAATACTACAAATTTTCTATAGATAACACAGGAAAAAGTCTTAAAAGATATGTATCAAATTAGAAACAGTGATTACTCCTTGAAAGGAGGTAACTGACCAGGATTGAGATTGATGATTAAAGGGATTTTAGTCTTAGTTAAAACATTCTGAATTTTGAAAACAACTGTAAAGTTAAAACATATCTAATATATATTAAGTAAAAAAAAGCCAAGATGCAAAACAGTGTATATAGTATAAGCCCACTTGAGTTATGTTAAAAGAATACACAGTTATACATTGTATTTGTATAGAAAACAACTAGAAAGATACACATCAATTCTTAACAATGATTACTTCTGGGAAGTTGGACTGGGGAAAAGACACTTGTTTTTTACATTAAATGCTTTTTACTGTTTGGTTTTTATTCTGTGTATCACTTTTAGAATACATACCATTTACCTCTCAATCTACACGGAGAGCTTTGCTCTGTAATAAATGAAACCAAATTAACCCATTTTGTGACCCCATCTGATAGTTCTGCTTAAGATGCTCCTAAACTGGAAGGCAACCACATGGGAAAAAACAAGGAACTACAATCTACTAAAATATGATCTAGGCACATAAAGTACACAAAATACACAAAGGAGGAGAGTATTATTTATATAAGCAACTGTATTCTAATGTTTTGGTTTCATTTTTCTATTGTCATCATTCTATGTTATATATATATTATATATTCTCCTTTCTCAGCTTAATTATTAAATGTACTTAAGTACATTTTCAGTAGTACCTTGCCAAAGTATCCTAGGTTGTTGGCACTCAAGGAGCTTATTTTTCAGTTCCTGAGAACAGTGCAGGCCCATTGCCAGGGTCTTTTCATCTAAACTAAATTAGAGGAGAACTGGCTCAAACACTGAATGGGTGTCAAAAGCATAGCGTCCTTAAACTGGGTTATTATTTGATTTCTTCCATTCACCAAATCCATCCCTCCTATCACCATGATTTGGGTTTAATAATCCCATCTCCACACACAGGATGTCCTTACACTGACAAAACATGATAATGTGTGCAAACATATAAAGTATGTATGGAATATCAGTGTCCATAGAGGCAGAAATGACTAGCTGCATTACTACTTGACATTAGTCAGCATTTTACAGAACTCTAAAAGCAAGGCCACTCTATAAACTCAAAATGGATTAAAGACTTGAAACCACAAAACTCCTAGAAGAAAATTTAGGCAGTAAAATCTCTGACATTTATCTTAGCAATATTTTTGCTAGCATATCTCCTCAGGCGAGGGAAACAAAAGAAAAAATAAACAAATGGTACTATATCAAACTAAAAAGTTTTTGCTCAGCAAAGGAAACCATCAACAAAATGAAAAGACAACCCACTGAATAGGAGAAGATATTTGCCAATGATACATCCAATAAGGGGTTAATACACAAAATTTAGAAAGAACTCATACAATTCAACACCAAAAAAACAAACAATCTGATTAAAAAGTGGGCAGAGGACCTGAATAGATACTTCTCCAAAGAGGACATACAGATGGCCAAAAGATATATGAAAAGATGTACAATGTCATTAATCATGTTATTCAATGAACATGTATGACTTTTATAATACACTTATAAAATCTATTTACCTCTCAATCTACAGGGAGAGCTTTGCTCTGTAATGAAAGAAACCAAATTAATCCATGCAAATTAAAACCACAATGAGATAGTGCCTCACATCTGTCAGAATGGCTACCATCACTAAATTAGCAAACAGCCCTGACTGGTTTGCTCAGTGGTTAGAGCATCAGCCCTCGGACCGAAGGGTCTCGGGTTCCATTTCTGGCCCCGGTCAGGACACGTATGGGAGGGCAACCAATCGATGTGTCTCTTTCACATTGATGTTTCTCTCTCTCTCCCCCTCCCCTCCACTCTCTCTATAAATCAATGGAAAAAATATCCTTGGGTGAGTATTAACCAAATAAATCAACAAACAAAAAGTGCTGGCGAGGGTGTGGAGAAAAGGGAACCCTTGTGCACTGCTAGTGGGAATGCAGACTGGTGCAGCCACTGTGGAAAACAGTGTGGAGGTTTCTCAAAAAATTAAAAATGGAACTGCTTTATGATCCAGAAATTCCACTTCTGGGTATATATCCGAAGAAACCCAAAACACTAATTTGCAAGAATATATGCATTGTAGCATTATCTACAATAGTCAAGATATGGAAGCAACCCAAGTGCCCAAAAATAGACGAGTGGAGAAAAAAGCTGTGGTAAATATGTAAAAAGGGATGTTACTCAGCCATAAAAAAGAATGAAATCTGCCCTAGCCAGTTTGGCTCAGTGGTTAGAGAGTCAACCTGTGGACTGAAGGGTCCTGTGTTAGATTCAGGTCAAGGGCACATACCTTGGTTGCAGGCTCGATCCCTGGCTCTGGCCGGGGTGCGTGCGGGAAGCAACCAATCAATGTGTCTCTCTCACATTGATGTTTCTCTCTCTCTGTTTCTCACCCTCCCTGCCACTCTCTCTCTAAAAAAAAAAAAAAAAGTCAATGAAAAAAATATCCTTGAGTGAGGATTAACCAAAAATTTTAAAAAAATGAAATCTTACCATTTTCGACAACATGGATGGACCTACAGAGTATCATGCTAAGTGAAGTAAGTTAGACAGAGAAAGACAAATACCATAGGATTTCACTTATATGTGGAATCTAAAGAACAAAATAAACAAATATACAAAATAGAAATATACTTATAGATACAGGGAACAGACTGATGGTTGCCAGAGGGGAAGGGGTTGAGGGGACAGATAAAAATGGTGAAGGAATTAAGAAGCACAAATTGGTAGTTACAAAATAATCATGGGGATGTAAAGCACAGCACAGGAAATATAGCCAAGAATACTGTAATAACTATGTATGGTGTCAGGTGGGTACTTGAAATATCGGGGAGACCACTTTGTAGAGTGTATGATTATCTACCACTGCATTGTACATCTGAAACTAACACAAAATAATATTGAATGTAAACTGTAATTGAAAATAAAATAAAAGCAAGGCCATTCTAGAATAGATAAAACTTCAACTCAGTCCCTCACTGGAGTTTTCCAGGACCAGAATCTGATAGCACTCACTTACCCCCATGACTCTGCCACGCTGCTCAACATCCTCCCACATAAAATGAACTATGACACGACACATGTACTTCCCAGTCCGGCCTTCCTGCTTCATTCGGACGAGACACATCCTGGTGGGAAGAAGACATAAAGAGTCACTGACTGTTTCCATTTTTCACATCACACATTTCCACTGAAGGTCAGCTCATCTGAGTGATTTCAGCAGAGTGCAGAATAAAAAAACTGAAGTGAGTTTTTAAAAACTTACTGAGGTATAACAGATACCATAAAGTACATAAACCTTCAAGTGTACAACTTAATGAATTTTTACATATTATATACACCCATGTAAGCACCACCCAGGTCAAAATATAGATTATTCAGAGCAACTCAGAAGGCTCCCTCAGACATGGAAGGAACCACTTTTAGTTGTAGATGTGTCAGCCTGATTCCTTCATTTTACTGATGAAAACAGGTGTCCTACAGAAGGCAAGTAATTTGCCCAACCACAGAGTAGTCTGTAAGGTGGGTAAAACACTGTGCTGTCCAATATGGAAACCACTAGCTACATGTGGCTATTTGAGCACTTTAAAAGCGGTTAATTCAAACTGAGATATGGTTATAAATTTAAGGTTTCAATATTTAGTTCAAGAAAAAGAATATAAATATCTCAAAAATTTTATATTGCTTACATGTTGAAATGTTACTTCAGATATATTGAGTTAAATAAACCTACTGTTAAAATTAAGTTCATTTTTTTAAATGGAGCTATTAGAAACTTTTAAATTAAATATGTGGCTTGCATTTTATTTCTGTTGGACAGCACTTACCCAGAATATAAATCACAGAAAATATTATGATTTCATCTGTGTAATTATCAAATTTTCCCCCCATTAGAATGTAAGCTTTACTGAAGGCAAAGATCAAATCTGGTTTTTTAATTATCATTGTATTTCCAGGGCTTAAGTATAGTAGGTACTCGATATATATTTGCTGAAGGAATAAATGGATAAACTCAGGGCAAAGTGCAGGGCTCTTTCCCCTATACCACATTGCCTTTAATCCATCCAGAGGGCTCTCTCTGCTTAAGACCTTACATAAAAATATAAGAATTATATTTTATTAATTAATAAATACAATATTATATTTAATTATATATAAGAATATAAACAGGGTCATCAACTTTTCCAAGTCAGTTCCTAATCTCATGAGTAAACTTATTTCTATTTATTATCTCTCATTAGTTACTAAGTAGCTACAACAGGACTATTCCTCTAAAAGACAATTCCTGCTATAATTATGGAATATTCAGTCTAAATTGACAATTCTATCTCCATAAACAATCCTGCCCATTAAAAATCTACTAACAATAGCATGGTACAATGGAATGATTCCAACCTGGCCTGCCTCAACATCTCTTTTAGTAACTAAGATGGGGGAAAAGAAAACATACTTATCAAATTTGCAGATGACAAGAAGCTGGGCAAGAAGACAAATATGCTGGATGACCCAACCATGAACCAAAAATACTTCAACAAGATATTTCAACAGGCTGAATCTAACAGAATGAACCTGAACAGGAATAAATCTAAAGTCCTGTATTTCAACTTAAAAGAACAACTGTAGAGCCACAGGAGAGGTGAGTCATGCCTACCTATGTGTGAAAAAGTCTTACAGGCATAAGTAACAGTATATCTTTTAAGGGATCAAGAGGATGATGAGGTTGACCCCCAAATCAATGTGATTTTAGATACAGTAATGGAAATAGAGTATCTTCAATGTATAAAGTGTGATTTCCTACTCCGCACAGATCCGATTCTACTTGGAATACTGTCCATAGTTTTGAACATTATATTTTTAAAGGACAAAAGGAAGAGATGAAAGATCAGAAGATATTTAACCTGGAGAAAAACAGGAAAGTTGCCTTAAATATTGTAGAATACTGATTACACTGTCCAAGAGTTAGAATCAGAACCAATGGGAGGGCCACAGAAAGAGAAGAATTAGTCAGCACTGAATACTGAAAACAAAACTTTCTAACAGGGGAGCTTCTGAATATTCAAATGATGGAATGGATAACCTCAAAAAAGTAGAGAACTGCCCATTTCTGGAGGCTGAATAAATGTTTGGTGGGAACTCAGCTGACAATCTGATCTTTAATGTCCCTTCCAACCCTGGGATTTGCTGATGCTGTGATTCTAAATTTGTAGCCTCTGAACCCAGTTTGTGCCTAAGAAATAACACTTTGTGACAATAAAAACAGGTCATGGAAAAAGATTTGGCCACTTTATACGATATAGGGCATGTTCCAAGGCAGAAACAAACTGGGGTAAGTTCAACAGTTCTTTTCATAAGATTTTTTCTTAAAGTTAATCAAATCACTCATGTCAGCCTCTCACCTGAAAAGAGCTGTGTGTTTTGATGCTTGAGTGTCGTCAGAGGCCAATTCATCAACAGCAATAGTGAGGTAATGGAATTCTTCATTTATTTGAAAATTCTGTAGTTTGTTAATACACCTGCCCTCTGAGGTTTAAAAGGCACAGATTTTCTCAGGCCATAAACTTGCTAACTATATCAACATGGGTGAAGTGTTTTTTGTTTCACAGCTGTTTGTTTCATAGCCCTTACAGATAACAGTAGGCTCAAATGGTTATCTGGGTTGAAAAGATAAAGCAAATTGAAGACACTTTCAAGACTGTCCACTAACAATCAACTCAATGAACATAAACTGACTTCCTACTGTGTGAGGGAATATATATGGCTGTGGGGATTATTAGAATGATGGCTAAAAAAAGCCCAGCTTCCAAGGACCAGTTAGTCTCCCAGGGGAGACAAAATCCACCATATATACAAATAGCCCTAAAAGAGGTTCCTAGAGAAGTACAAAGTGCAATGGAGTTTGAGAGGATTACTTTTGGCTGAGTGGGATCAGAGAAAGCTTCATGGAACATGGAACATGGAACATTATACTGGGGCTTGGAAAGATGAGCTGAGGCTGGACAGGTAGAGACAAAAAATAAAGAGAATTTCCAGCAGACGGAACATCATGAGCAGGGCAATGGAAGAGCTCAACACATGTAAGGGAACAATGATTTTGTAGTAGGGCAGGTATAGGAAACAGAAAAGTGTGCCAGACAGGTCATAAAAGGCTTTGAAATGCCACGCTAAAAAAGTCTGGACTTTACCCAGTAGACAATGAGGAGCCACTGAAGAAGGGGTATAATAACGTTAGCACCTTGGCACTGATAGCAGATGAGTCTCTGAGACATTAACCCTTTCTTTCCAGCCTCAGCCCTGAAATCAAACATTAATGTCACCAGGGTTGGAAAATGACAAAGTTAGTGAATATTTACTTGAATAGAACTATGGTATTCAGAATAGTCTGATCCAGAAATATAAGCTAACATGTGCATCTGCCTTTTTAGAGCTATGCAACCAGCAAAGTTTGTTATAACCTATATACCTATTTTTACTGATACTAACAATTAAGAAAATACAGTATGGATTCAAGCCTGCTAAATAAAAGGAGGGCAAATTCTTTTTTCTTTTTTTTTAAAATATATCTTTATTGATTTCAGAGAGAGGAAAGGAGGGGGAGAGAGAGAGAGATAGAAACATCAATGATGAGAGAGTCATTGATTGGCTGCCTAGCCCGCAACCCGGGCATGTGCCCCGACCGGTAATGGAACCCCAATCTCCTGGATCCTAGATCGATGCTCAACCGCTGAGCCACGCCCGGCTGGGTGAGGGAAAATTCTAATTATTCCTAAACCACTGTACCTAATTAGTTTAATAGACACTTAATTGATGCAAAACACTTTCAAATATAAAGCTCTATAGCAAATTTCATCACACATAACTAAAGTTATAAAATCAAAACGAAGAATCAGTGTTCTCAACAACAGGAAATATAATGACGATTCCCATGAGTCCTACCAGTAAAATACAATTCTAATCTACAGGGCTGTCCATTCACCAGCACCATATTCAGCTAACTAAAAGTTCAACTAATTTTCTCCCTGAGTTTGTGAATCAAATTGTGTAGGTAGATAGATAAAGACAGAAAGCAGTCCTATAGGGAAGAACTTTTGTATTTCCCACTTCGAGGAGAAAGCACAGCAGAAGGCGGGGCCCACATCTTATGGACAGTCAGCTGCCTGGAATGTCCAGACCAAGCGGACAAAGGTCAATTCTTAGGCCACCTGATCTTACAGTGAACACAGTCTACTCCTTTCTTTCTTTACAGTTTTGAATAGGTATACTTGTACATGGTAATAAAAACTAAGTCTCCTTCCTACCCACATCCCCCAGCCACCCTGTTCCTCTCCCTAAGGCAATCATAGTTTCTTAGGAATCCTATAATCCACAAACTTACATGAATATGTATTCTTTTTACATAAATGATAGCCTCCTTTTCCCCCATTTTCATAGTGATAGTCATTCTACACACACTGTTCTTACGTTGAGAAAATACTTAATCTGCTACAAAAAGATGTAGGTGAAGAAAACTCTAACTGTTTCAACCACAAATACCACAGTCACTCCAGTAAAACCATTTTTTAGATGCCAGAGATAATAGATTTCCACTAACTGATATGGCAATTGTTAGGGTAACATCTGATCTAAGCTGAATTCAGCTTATCTGGCAATTTTTCCTATTCTAAAAATGACTAAGAAATAGGAAGAAAAAAAATCCTTAATAGCAAAGTAAACAAGTGCTACAACTAACAGCTAAAATAACTATGTGCCAGGCACTGTGCTATGATTTAGAAGCAATATTTCATTTAATCCTTATAACAACTCTGTTAGGCTGGTATTCTTCCTGTCACCATCTTACAGATGAGGAAACTGAGTCTTAGAGAAGTAACTTGCCCAGAGTTACAAGCCTAGTAAGTGTCAAAGGAGATCTGAACCCTGATAATCTGATGCCAGTACTGTTTCTCTGCTTCCTTAATGACTAGAAGAAACCCTCCAGAATCCATTCACTCTATTTTTCACTTAATCCTCACAAGGGCAGTAATTTAAGTTTCAAAATTAGCATCACATTAGAAATAGTATATTGGAAGGAAAATAAAGACTGGCTAACTTGAGACAAGCATAACTACAACAACAAAAAGTAACTCCTGGCAGC